TTTCAGAATATCGCCGTCCACTTTGCTCGATTTTCCTACCATTTAAAAGTTACTTATAAAATAGCTAAGCAGCCTCCGAATTTATAGTTGGGAGAAAATACTGAATTACAGATATTTTTGTTAGCTTTCTTTGTATAACGAAATCTACAGTTCTACTGGATAGATTTTGTCAATTAATCGGTTGTAAATAATTATGTCAATTTGATTTTACTAAACATTTGTATTGAAAAGCTAAAATACCCCCGATGCAGCAAACCTGCCGACTAAGTGAATTTCCATTTCTTGGTGAAAAATGTACGACAATGTTAGCATTTGACTGTTGAAAAAAGCGCCATAAAATTACAATATATTGTACTCAGTTTGTTCTATTATGTTATCTGAACGCGTAGAATATTTTGTTCGGGAAATGTTTTTATCGCTTTCTATAATGTTATTTTAGTAACCAACACATAAGCCAACAAATAGAAGGTCTATAATCTATGATTTTTAAGTGGAACTACATTGGTTTACCTTAGGTGCCGAGAACCCTTCAACACTAGTCGTATTTCAAAATCAAAACGCAGCAATCGAGAACCAAAGAGAATCGAGGAATTGCAAACACTTTACGAATATTTTCTATAAGTCATAAATGCTATAATTTTGTAGTAGTTCTATTTTGAACCAAACAAGTAAAAAGTTGACAATAGGCCTACAGAAATTTTGAGATCGCCAAGCAACGACAACAATGCTGTTGATGTCACAAATATCAAAAGGTTATGAATAGGAATGAGTTGTGACCGCGAGTTTGAGTCCAGCGTGAGAACCACAACGGAAAACACATTTAAAAGATAATTTTAGGCCCTGGGTTATAGAAACGATATTTTTGTTCTCAAATTACGTTCCAAGAACAGCAACAATCATAGTATGGAAAAACAATTGAATGTCTATTGCTAGACACGCGCGAGGATCAATTATGAATTCCCTTCTTTTGCATAAGGAAAATATTCGTGATGAGAATAGTAGCTTGTTTAAAATTCTAATTTGTGATTCATCACTAAACACGAGCCAAAAAATTGATTAAATATTGTTAACACGTGGCAGACGAGACGTGACGTGCTTGGGGTTGTACATTGTGCATCCCCGTGGACTCCCACCACCACTGTGCTGGCTGGTTGCTCTAATTAGGAAATCGCGATTAATTAATCTGCTTTAAATACGTGATATTCAAACAGTTCTTTAAAACAACTGAACAAATACATTTATTTTACTTTTGCTTTCCTTTAACGAGATAGTTTTTGGAACAGAGTTCACATTATGAGCTAAACAATTAATTTAACAGAATTATAAACTTGTACATACTAGTAAACGAGAAATTGACAAAAGATAAAGAACAATAAACAATATTGTCTTCTACGACTCGTATATTCCAACTCACAATATTAGTACTAAGAGTGAAAACCTAAATGTACTATAAAATATATACTTTTGTTAGTTGGCAACATTTTGAACGTAAAGTAGTATATGCCTACACATTTGTAATACGTTTTTAAAACCCTTTTGTGATTTAAGAATTAAAAAAAAAAATTATCCCGATAGTTTTTTTATAAGATCAAATTCACTTGAACAAGTGGAAAACAGTAAATACAACACCACAAACCGGACCTCAAATGGACTATCGAGTAAAAAATGACAAATGTTCAAAGATGTATTGAATTTTCAATGCTGTTATAAACTACCCCTTTAGGGGGACGCCCACTAGAATACCGAATAAAATCATAAACCTAAGCATGGCAGCCGCTCAAAGATTAAAAAACGTTTTAAAATGGCAGATCTTTAAACGGCTACAATTTTTTACTCGGTTGTCCGTTTAGGTCCGGTTTGTAGCATTGCTTTTAGATATTCAAGACCTTAAATTTGATGTACGTACATATAAACCTAAGCTTGTCTTTAAGATTTTAAACTTACTTCCTATGGCCATCCCCCATAGGTGTCATCCGATCACCATTCGCACAAACAAGTAGTTTACTATTACCAGTAATGACATGCCAAATTTGGTTGTTATATCTCTTTTAAGTCGTGCTAAGACCTAATTGTCACCCTGTATGTATAAATGCAACTATCGGTTCATCTTAATATCAGATGTATTACTTGCTATTGATCCTTCAGATCCATTTATATGACATGGTATTCTCCATTCAATAATCACGGATATCGGTAGCACGATATTGTAACATCTTACAGTTAATAGTTCAGCAACTGTCTTTGACAGTTATACATGCTACAATCTTGTACAGTTACTATTCTAATACATTTTTCATGGAGGTATGGATAGGCCCTACATTCAAGGTAAGATTGTGCTTTAAAGCTTAAACACTAAAAAAAAGCAAATTTTATTTTAAACACCATCAAATGAAAGAATCTAATAATTTAAAATAGAATAAGGGATGTTTGTCTATGAAGTAATTGAATTGATGTTAATATTTGTTTTATATGGTTCGATGTAAAGATTATACGACGAATAACGCATAAGTTTATAACTACGTGTCCGTAAAGTAAACTCGTAGTTACTCCAAATCGTGTTTAATGTATTGAATTCACTGTAAAGTTTCAGATTACCTGCGTGTAAAGCACAAGACGAGAGAAGAACTTTAGTAAACGCATTTACTCTCGTTGGTTGTTTCCTAGAATAGACAATCCCCGGCCATGATTAATAACAACAACAATAAAGTGTTACGTAACAACAAGAGTGAGACGTAACCAACGTAACGCGCAACGACGGGTCTAATTTGGGAGAGCGCTGAGGCAGAAGAGCGCAAAAAGCAATTACTGAAGACACAGAGTCGACAACGATAATTGTCAACTCATCTCTTGTAGAGGTGAAGCGTTACACCTACTACCAGAGAATATAACTCTGGATACGCGACTACACGAGCAGGTGCCAGTTTATATTGGTCAACACTTTATTAATACTTAAAATGCCCATTCACTTTCTTAGAATTCGACAGATCTCAAAGCCAGAAAATATACTCCGACAGGAATTAAATGTGATAAGATATAATAAGACACATTTGAGAACTTTACAATGTGATATATTACATCTTAATCACAACATTCCCAATTTAATAGAATGATTTTGCTGTATAGATTTAATTTTAAAGCACAAAGTGTCCATTGTATCGATCTTTTGTGGACACCTTGTATATTCCTTGCTTTGTTTATACAAGTTAATTTTAATCAAAGTCAATATTGCATGAAAAACTCGAATACTCTCACTCGGTGAACAGTCCTTTAATAGAGTAAGTACTCTTAATCACACGATTGGTACAGACAATCTTATTTTATTGCACTCATAAAACATTAAATATGACAATATTTCTTACATATTTAGTTGTATGTATGATCGCTCAAGAATGAAAATACAAAAATATCCTATATAACCTTAAACAAGTTGCGGTGAAAACTGTTTTCAGTAAAGGATCTTGGGAAGATCGTATATGTTTTAGTAACTTAGTCAATGCCATTGACATAGGCTCTCAAAACTAAGTGTTTTTCAGTTTTATTTACTTTATTCATGGTGTACTAAAGCTGGTAGGAAGACTGAGAACTATTCTATGTAGAGGCTGTGTGTATGTGAAAGTTTATATGTGATTGCACACAGCTTACAGCTCAGCTGCACAGTTACTGTGATACAGAAAGTACTTCTCTCAGCATGTCCGTGACAACATCTGGAGGTTTAGAGACCGACACAACATACATCTATTATCTATAAACGTTGTACATTTAGTTTGCAATTCTAAATTTTATGTGCACAATGCCGATGTTCGCACTTTTGAATCTGAAATATTTAATTTAGTGGGATGATAATTTGATAGATAGAAGATATATGTTTCTTTGGTATGAGACAATATGAGTTAGTATAAATGGATAGGACCAATATTACAGCTTTTATCAATAGTAAAAATAATAATCACCTCATTACTTTTTGCCATTTTATTCAACCTTAAAAATTAAAATAAAAATTTAATAAAATTTTTATTTGATTTTGTTAAGTTCTTTTGACTGACACAGGCTTTTATGGACAAGATATATAGATTCCATATGGTTCGCAACTGGTACCATAATTTTAAATAGTGAACCATACTGTCTGTACTAAAGTAGTAATTTAAATGGTGCGACATAAAACCAACCGTTCGACAGAAAAGTCGTCAATTATCAATTTTATAAAAATCATTTTACGAAAACTCAGAGACAATTGAATTAAGCTTAGGAGAGAGATTCCTTTTAATAACACTTTGTAAGGCTTCCGTCGTTATCGACTATCGTCTGTTTTCTTTTCTAAGACAACACAATTATTGGAAAACAATTATTGTACTTTACCTGTTTGATTTATTCGAGAAAATATGTTTACCGAAAAATGTGTTTACCGAGAAACTGCAATAAAAGCATAACCAATAATTTTTGGAAAACGTATTACATTCGGTTGTTTTATTTTTTAAATTCTAACTGAACTGTGACACTTCCAAACCAACAGTTTTTCTCAGTTCATTACTGTAAATATGGCTATAAAATAATAGTACAAAATAATACTATAAACATATATATATAACTCAGTTTATAGTGTATACAAAGAAGAATTAATTTTTGCGATTTTATTCTTTAGAAAATTGTGCCGTATTTTAAATATTAAACCATTGATATTCCAAGAACAAATTATAAAATCAAGAAGTAAATTACTAGACCCCTTTTAAAAGTCTACTCATTGCAAGGATCTTCCTCTGTAGTGGAGGCTATAAAGGTTACAGTGTAGCACCTCTCAAAGACAATAAAGACAGGTTAGATGGCCTCTCTACAACAACCCAAGCTATCCTTTGGCAAGCGACGATGCAGAATACACAAAGTGCGGTCTCAATTAGGCAGGTGTATTGTTTGTGTGGGTAAGTGAATGTCAGCTGTTGTAGTGAGGACCTGCGCGTCGCGACGTCGACGCCATCTTGTGATCGATGTAGTGACGTCACCCACCACTCGCCACTCCAGTAGTGTCACTAGTCATGGAGTCATGGACGTTACTGTTGGTCGCGTCCGTGGTCCTCGGGGCGACCGAGGCGGAGGTGTTCACCAACTCCTTCCTGGTGAGACTCCACGGCGACCTCGGGGCGGAGACGGCCGACCGCGTGGCCTCCAGGACAGGCTTCGTCAACCGAGGACCGGTGAGTGAGCCACCATATGTCTGGGAGAGAGGTTAAACACCCGACACTCGACACTCTACACTGAGAGTCCTTACACAGGATCAGCTCCAGTAATTGCACCACAGACACTCCAGCATCTCAGACTGAGGATAATCCACACTTGCGGTAGCGACGTCATACTCGTGACTCACTAAAGTAAACAAACCGTTCATCGATTCATCACCTGGCTTCACCTTTCCCTCCACTACTTGAACAAAAAATTTGATTATAATATTGTTCTACGTATGGTAAATATAATACTAAGAATACGCCGTAGATTAAAGTACATTACAAATTATAGCGAGAGCTTACTTAATTATTTGGTCACGCCAGGATGTTTATTTCTGCCATATAATGACAGCTATTAACTCTAAATTACAACATATTATTTAATAAAGATAATAAAAAATGCACTGAAGTTAGATTTCTAAAATATTTAGCCACTGAAGTCGACATATTATTGATTTATTAACTACCCTGACGACCTAATAATAATCACTGTACATGATAGACAGACCAATTGAGTCAATTTTGTACATGGGTATTAGCGATCAGAAAATCTAAATCAAACCTATCCAACAGCTATTTTTACTTGCAATCTTGCACTAAATTAACTCATTTTTAATAGTATGTTCTTGAATCAGGATCTATTATTATACTGTACTTAACATGTGGGCCTACGTTAGAAATTTAGTAAAAAAGAAATTTAGTAAGAAATATAGAAATTTAGTGAAAGTCAAATGTACAGTTCCGGAAACAAATTACAGTACTAGGTAACTACGAAAATCCGATAGAAAATATTCCATTATATAAACCTGGTGCAGACTCACTTCATCATATAGTTAATTCTTTAATCGTTTTTGGTTACAAAATAGTTTGAGCTGCATTGGTTTATAAATTTTATTTATTTCATACAAAAGTACTTAAACTATTTTTTAAACTCACAAACTACTGTAGCATTAATACTATACTTCAGACATATAAAAAGATATTAAACATTAAAACATTAAAAATATATTACAAAATAAAAATCCTCAAACTTATCCTGTGATTGTGAAGCAGTATGGTTGTTGTACTCTTTTATTTCAAACGCGCCGCTTCCACAATAATGTAGGGGAGATTAAAGCAGAATCTATAAAATGAAGGAATTTAGCAACTCCAACTTTAAAACACTAGAAAATTATAATAAAGACTCTCCCTAAATTATCCATCGTCTCATAACATAAAACCACAGTGACTACCTTATAAACTTTAATATTTATATAGAATTAATGTCAACCCAAAATATCAACAATAAACTATGTATCATATGAGTTCATACACGATGACAAATATTTAAATGCAACAGAGTGAAAACATTGCAGAGTTTTAAATTTAATATTTATGTTACTATCAATTCGGGAGATATTGAAAACCCTTTCATATATCATCCAAAACAATAAAAACAAAATATCAAGGCTTACCAATATATACGATTGCCGAAATAAAAGTCTAAAAATCTCAATAGTATATGGTTCAAAAACACCACAAAATTAATCATAGCCATCAACATAGCCGTTGTTATTTGAAAGATGTATTTCTATATTTGGATGGTTCTATATTGGCCCAAGTTTATTTCCAAACATACATATTCACTCTCCAAAGGTCTTAGTTTCAAAGCAGATGTTCACATACACATTGACATAATAATAGAACTTAATTTTATATCATAATATAATTTTGCACTTTTTCCCCATAGACGTTTTTGTAAGTGGTAGCTAAAATAATAATCTGGACAATTTTGCTGGTTATAATTTCACTACCTTTAACAGAGTAAATTTTTTTTGCAGTGAATCTTGTGATAAAAAAGGCCAAAACAGTTCCTACAAACCTTTATTAACTTATTTACTTAATTACTTTATACTTCTACTTATTAACTTATTTACTACTAGCTGTTACCCACGGGCTCCACCCCGTTTACTACATAAGTATTAATAAAACTATTGATTGGTTAAGTTAAGCTGAAATAAACAAAGCAGAATACAGTAATGATAATACAAACAAATAATAACAGCTGAGGTATTTTTAACATTAGGTAAATGGAAAGTTCCCTTTGGAAAGCAATTACGACCTTATAGGGCAATTTATGAAATAATGGATAATTTTGCGCAAGGTTTCTCGTCATGACGAACATTTTAAGTGTATGGTTTATGGGGGTGTGACTTGTAGTTTTCTCAAAAGTTCATGGGTACTTTTGGCTTTATATATAGATACAAACCCTATTTATCTAACATGAAAAAATTTCCATTACATTGCAATTATGCAACGTAATTATTCTCTAATAAAATATACAGTAGCTATATGGATACCAAACTCGTTTGAACAAGCCTAATCCTATTTCTTTTAGTTGAAAATCGTATTATGTTGTGCCTATCATAGTAAATGAATTTAAAAAATCTTATTACATATTTGACTACCTAATTGTCGTAAATTATACTTTTGATTTTTTTTCATAAAAAAATTCTAAGGGGTCATTAGGTAGTCAATTACTTTAAATCAAGAACGCTACTATAATTAGCTCTTACTTGAAACTCTGCACGCGAGAAAAACATGGACAATATTGACGTGAATGTAAGTGGCGACCGACGTCAATGGCCGCTATACAGCAGCAGAACTAACCTGATGTGAACAAATGCTACTACAGTGATAGGCCAAGGGGTAGTTTTGGTCATTATTGGAGAGTAGGCCTACAACCAGAAGACATTGCCTCAGGACAAACCAGCGCAGTACGGTGACCTCAACAAGTAACAAGTAACACTCGAAACGCTTTTAGTCGGACGAGAACTTAACGATGATAAAAATCCGTCATTATTGGATTGCGTATATTCATTTGTTTTATTATTTTTACACAGTTTATTTTTAACACAGTTAGGAATTGCCCACTTGATCGAGCCTCCTCAGCGTTGCTTCTACTCGTACAGTGAAAACCCGGTTTTGATTCTTTATTAGAACAACTCACTCATGTACAAGTGGAGCGAGAAGTATATGCTTGTATGTCTCAAAGAAAAATATACTGAGAGATTGTACTGCATAGAATAGCACTGGTCAGCTTCCCAGATACTTGTTTCTTGGTTGTATCCCCTTAAAAGATTTGTACTACAAATTATTTACCAAACCAGGTTTTTTGTATGATTTTGACGGGCATGTCAGATATAGAAAACCTAAAAAATAAACTCTATTATACTTTTTTTTAATAAGTCGAAGTAAATATGAGTTAATTTTAATGAAACGATAACCGAAAGTCTGATGGAGCACATATACTTGTGATATATTACGTTATTTTACCAGGTGATGGATCGTTTGGACATGTCATCATGAATGGATCCATTAGTTGTGAATTATGACAAGTGAAAGAATATAAATTGCCACTGTAACTACAAGTTTGTGGATTGAAAGGATGTTTAATCTCCGTCGTGTTTTATTTCTTCTAAACATACGTTGAATCGCTCAAAACAACTGACGATGCTCATTGTTTGAGCAGATTTAATAAAAACGGGGCTATTTGTTCCGTCTGATTTTCTTGACGTTGCTTTATAAAGATATTTTGAAGTTTGTATGTTCAAGAACGTCTGTACTTTGTAGATAATTCAAACGAAGCCTTTGTTAATTATGATATCAAATGATAGTGAAAGAATGTTCTTCATAAAAATAATTGATATGCATAAAAGCCGTAAATATTAATAATTCTATTCAGACATAGATGCTACACATTTTCGAAATATGAATACGTGATGTGTGTATAAGACGAGTCAGGTGCAGTTGTTACCGTCTAATATTAGCAGTTTCTTAGTCTGGATCACAAATGACAGCTGTGTTTAGTCGTACACCTTTATATATAAACAAAATTCTGAAACCAGGATTTAGATAGATGTGTGAGTACAAATCAAACATTGTCTAGCCAGTACAACTGTCTCTGTATTGATGCATTGACCTTATGAAAGGAATCTACAGTTTATTATTACTTTGGAGACTAAAAAAGTCGATGATGTGGAAGTTTATTAAACCATGAAACTGGAAAACATCATCTTCGATCGTAGAACGTTTGTCATGAATTACTTTAGTTCTTGGAACTCCGAGCAATATCACAGCTAGCAAATACTTGTCAGAGGAGTGACATTCACATAAATCAAGTTTTCATTTTCAAACTGAGCGTTATATTGTGTAATATATATTCGTACGTTTACACTCGAGCCCTCTTGTGACAAGCATGTGAACATGTATTTTCGAGTAAAGAGATGGTTAGATATCACGTTTTTAGTAAATTATCAAAACCTAAGTTAAGCCTCACTAACCTTAATTTAATTTTAATCATATTTGTTGGAAACGATTCTATTTAAATGAACCATGTAAATATATACACATGGAGGTTTATTGGATAAATAGGTATTGCAATTATTGGTGTTAGGGCGAGTAATTAGTGCATGCTAAATGCTAATACTGTAGTAATATTCAGCCTTACCACTTTCCTTCATATAAGTTCTGAACCTTTAAAAGAACTATAGCGAGATAACATTAAAAATATATTAACCGAGCAATGCAGTACGTTATTTGAGGTATTCTGATGAAAAATTCTGACCTTGGGCCATTAATGGCGTATTTTCACTCCCATTAAACACTTGGAGAAACATATCCCTCTATACCGAAGGAATTATGTTTAATGCTATGTATAATAGATATGATATCGTTGGAAATAGTTTTTGTGCTACGGTACAAGTTAAATTTAAATGTATTAGGAAACGCATCAGGAGGGGTGGATGGATCCAGGGTTGTACTTACTCTGACAGCCTTATCAAAAACCTTTATATTGAATGTGTTTTACCACAAATTAAGGAACAAAAAAAAATTGTTTTCCTACAGTCACCCGACAAAGTGGGCTTCCTTGCACAGATTATAGTACAGAAAGCTGATAATAGCTGTATTTACTTACTTTTGCACACAGTTTT